TAGTGGATAACCTTGAAAACAAAAGGTGAAAATTCATATTTCTAGTTTAACGTAGAGTAAATTAAACATTAAATGAAAATAGGTATATATATAATACTAAGTTGTACTCACTAACTGCAGCTCAGTGCACTTAACTTTCAACGCATTTTTTAAATATGAAAAATGTCATCCATTCAAGAGACTCACTGAAGATTAGGCCTGAGCCTAAGACGACAAGTGTCTTCTTGTAACCAGAATCTTGGATTCTTATTACCACTGGCACCTATCTACTTGCATTTTATCAGCTATAACTGCTTTTGAAGGTGCACTTGTTTTCAGACTATTTAACAACTGACTTGATTAAAAATGAAAACACAATCCGTAACTCACCCAAACTGACCCCAGCCCCCTTATGATATATCTGACTAGATGTTTTTTCTCCCCCTTCTTGGATACATTTTTACTGATATAATCTAATCTATAAGGAAACAGTTCCCATCACATGTATGTTGGTTTGTGAATTATGAACACATCACAATCTTTAGGTATAGCAGCAACAGAAAAAAATGTTGTTTCCAGTATAGTGTTGTTCCCTGAACAGACAGAAAGTAACAAGCAGAACTAAACAGGAACAAGAACAGACAAGTGTCGTGCAACCGATGGTTTCTCTTTGCCCACACTTTACCTCCAGGGCTTACATCACTGATGCATTAGTAGCAGCCCTGCATGTAGACAGGCAGCTTTGCTTCCTAACATTTCTCTGGCTCCTACAGTAAACAAAATTAAGCTCAGACAGAAGCTATCAGACCTTTGAAATGAAAATCCTACTACCAAAGATAAGCTTTCGGCAATCTAAAATTGGCTAAACATTTTTTCCATCTTACATCATCTGACAAGCACAAACTATGACCCATACATTTTACATTTAACTCTCTTAGCAGGCAGATTGAAGCTTTATGTTCCCCATTAAGCCTTAAAAAAAACCCCACAGCTTCTTCACGATGAACTAAATGTTAGCCACATTACAATTTCCTCTCAGTGAGTTAATAGCCTATGCAAAGTGTTTCCAAAGAGCCTTCTTAATAAGTTACACAGAGCAAAACCTATTGGACAAAGTTGAAGTTCTGCTAGAAGAGAAGCCAAAGTTCTTTCACAAGTCAGGATTTCTAACAATTTCCTTTGGCACCGACGTTCTTTTTAACTATGGCTGCTGTCAGCACCTCTGTTCAGGCTGCCAACCTCATCTTTAATCCATTTTATAGGATCTACTACAAGAGCATACTACTATTTTATTGCAATTGAAAACAAACATGCAGCTTCAGCACCTACTGCTCTGAAACACAACCAAATTCAGGAAAGACAGCATATTGCTCTGATTACAAGTCTACCTTTTTCCCTCCAAAATAGCTATTTATACATGTACTTATATATGGGGTCAAACTATAATGAGGCCCCCTACAGTCATGACCTATGCACTTAATATTTTTATTGTATGCACAAAAATACCGTACATCAGGATTTTTTTCAGTGCGGTTTTTGTTTTAGTATTTTAGTACCTTTAACCTTTTGAGTACTTTCCTTGGTTATTTGATTGTCTTGTGGGATTTTGTAAGAGCTACAGCAGTTCAGGGTCTCCTTCTACCCAACTTACATTCAGGGGAAAAAAGCTGTTTTCCTAAAACTGAACTGAAAACACGGGGTCAACTTATATCTAGAGTCATCAATTGGAACATTACAGTGTGTAAATTATATGAATTAGACTGATTCACCTTATTTACCAAATTACTTGTCCGGTTTGTATTTCTTACACAGGTCAGTAATAAAGTGTACTAATCTCACTAGGACTTTTTACATCTCTCAGATGTACTCACATCTACTATACATCTGCATTAAAGAGTCTCTGCGTTGATGGCACAAAAATCTTGAGGAAATGGAAAGCAGTTTAAGAAGTGGTAATTTTAAAAGTAGGACTGGGGGAACTTTAATAAGGACTCTTCTTTTGAGTCCTTAATAGGCAAGTTGTGACCATCGCAGACAGCTCAACATATTGAGCAGACTGGGTGAAATATCCTTCTTGGGTTATCACCATTTACACTGTATGTCACTATAAAAACAAATGGTCAAGGCTCAAAAAAAATTCAATAGTAGTTTTACTGTAAGGAAGAGGACAGATAATGCAGCATTTCCTGTATGATAAGTACTAAATGGCTTAAATTCTACACCAGAAGGAAGTGGGAAAAAAATAAAATAAAAAAAACCTGTACTTGCAAATATCTATGAAGTACTCTATGTAGCCAAAAAGCCCACAAATTATAGAGACAGAATATTTTAGAATATACAGAAGTTAAAAATGGTCATCTCCATGTAATTTATAATAAATAAAAGATTGAAAAATAATTTATTTCTTGGATAGATTGTTCTTTAATAAGTTTCCACTTTCAGAAAACTTTCCCTATGCACAAGTCTGGTTTTAGCCAGACAACAATACAGTATTCAATACCTTAGTATACTCTCTAAGGTGAGGACAAATCAATAGTTTTGCCGTGGGGGTGGGGGAGAGGAAAGGAGGAAAAGAAATTATTACTTTAATAATTTTATCCACTGTTTTTATTTGATCATATTCACTTTAAAGTTCTGCAGAGATAGCGTCCACTCTGTTTTACATTGACTAATATATTCTTTAAATATTGAAAAAATATTCAGTTTCTATATAGTCAGAAAAGGTTCTTTAAAGGTATTCTAGGAATTCAGAAGAAAAAACTTAAAAGATGTCTTTTATCAATTTAGCTGATAATCAAGTTTTACTAAACAGAGGCAAGCAAATATCTGTTTCAAATGTAGGTCTCTCAAATAGGCCACTGGATTACAGCATATGCACATAGGATAGTAGTTCTTTCTAAGCAAATATTTTTCTAGTTCATTCTAAACCATTTTTTACTCATACCACGTACATACTATATTTTTCTTGCTTGCTTGGGAAAGACGTGCTTGCTTCCCCTCCCCTCCCCTCTCTGAAACAGGTTGTTTTCAGATTCCGATACTGGTACTGGGTATCCATTGGAAA